CCCTCTAGTCTTACACTGCTAAATTAGGGACGGCTAGCGCAGATAGCCCTCGTGTAGCTTTGCGCGAAATTCAAAACAACCAATACGTTTGTTGCTGAGCAACATGACATAAAAGCCACTGTTAGAACATAGTGTTACCAAAACGCATTGGCTTTTCTATATACTGTATTAAAATGCACCACGTATTCATTTCATGAATGAGCTTAATTTTAATTGGCTTATAAAGGAATTTACAGACGTTTGACTACCTCCGCTGCATTTTTCTGTCAAGCTTGATTTCGCAATATATATATATTTCGGTTAGCTATGAAATGTGAGGTTAGGGTACAGTATGTGGTGGGGGTGGTAGTACTTGTCCCGTCATCTTGAACGGGTCATACGCTAGTATTAAATACTATACACCTACCTTGGATATTAAATAGTCTAATTTCTTCTTCATAACCTTTTCTTCTGACATAACACTGCTGAGCAGATGCATGTGTAAAGTGAACGCTAGGTGGCGGAATCCATCCACTAGGGTCACCAGGGAACCCTCTAATCAGCTTGAAATTACCAACTCTAGTAAAGAATATCATTTAAACAAATAGCTTAACATTAAGAATATTGTAAAACAACAAAATACTTCTGAAATTAAATCCAAGTGTTAAGTTGCTGCTTGATTAATATTAAAACCTAAAGTACAAACGAACTTTAAGTAATATAACTTCTTGGAAAAACAAGAAATATGAAATGTATGTGAAATAACAATTAAAAAACTGTCATTACACAGTTTGCTTTAGAAATGTGTTATACTCATATATAGATATTTTCAAATTACTGCAGATAAATAAAAATAAGTTAACTTAAAGAAAATAACAAGCAGAATAAAATTTTGGTCTGAGTAATACTAGAAGAAAAAATACGAATTATCATGTTAACATTTTCAAAAATCTTCTAGAACATGATTTAAAATATTATCTTTCTTTCTTTTTAATACTATTCTCCTGCAAACACAGTTTGGTTGCAAGACAAGATTATGGTTGACTCCTGCACATTTATTTAGTTTTTCAACATTTCTCTTTGTATAAATTCTATGTAAAGTTATTAATTTACTTTTCTTAAATCCCACCTGATGGCGTCCTTGGGTGGCTTTCTTCCTGTATCAAAAATGTTATAAACAAATTCATTTCGTACTTCGGGTCCATTTGTCCGCAGTGTCGTCCACTGTGACACTCCATCCATAGTATTATCTTGAAATTTTAATTAACGTAATTATCAATCCAAGAATGTTCTAGAAATTTGTTCTTCCATTAATTTATATGTTCATTGATCCTTCTGTTCAACTATTAATCAATCTTTTAATTTACTAGCTGTAGTACCCGTCCACTGGACGGAAATTATATAAATTCATGATTAATTAAAGGTATCTTAGACATGAAAAGTTGCTTCTCTTATATGTAATTGTAAAAAACGCCCATAGAAACTGTAAAACACAAAATGTGAAACCGCAAATTTGTCATTATCTCCGCATAGACTCAACAAACCTTCATGCCAAATTTGTTAAAAATCCATCAACAGGGGGCGAAGTAGTGGTAAAAAACACCCATTAAAATAGCAAAACTCAAAATGCAAAACTAAAAATTTGTGTGCATCTCCCCATGGATCCAATGAACCTCCATACTAAATTTGGTTAAGATCCATCTACAGAAGATGAGGTAATGGCAACAAAAAATATGTTAAAACGCCCATAAAAACCGCAACATGCAAAACTGAAAATGTTTATGTACCCCCGCATGAACCTTAATCCACGTGACTGTATTTTACATCTTTACCTTCGAAAACTGCCCACCACTTCAACATTCACTTGAATTAAACGTTTATTTCTTAGCATCAGTTGAAATCAAAATGTTAATTATATCAAAATACTTAATCCTCCATTACGATAATCAATCATTTTTAAAAAATTACCCAGTACTAATTGGAAGTAATAATATATTTCAAATACACTTTCTATACTGAACATGGAAGTATTAATATATTTCAAATACACTTTCTATACTGAACATGGAAGTAATAATATATTTCAAATACACTTTCTATACTGAACATGGAAGTAATAATATATTTCAAATACACTTTCTATACTGAACATGGAAGTAATAATATATTTCAAATACACTTTCTATACTGAACATGGAAGTAATAATATATTTCAAATACACTTTCTATACTGAACATGGAAGTAATAATATATTTCAAATACACTTTCGGTACTGAACATGCTTTCCACGTTAATTCTCTAGACTTATAATGGTAAAAACAGTGGCTTTAGAAAATTATGGTTTAGCACAGTTTTGCTTTCAACCAGGTGTATTTTGGGTTTTTTAAAGTGTGTCTAACCATACAAACATAATAATATAGTACTGATTATATTCTCTTTTTATTTACAAGTGCGATAATATTATGTAAATATAGTCTGACATTTCTTTAAACAGGTTTGTATCGTAAAATGTATACAACTAACCGGGCAGACCTCCAGCAATGTCAACGAACGTCGGATACCAATCCACTGCATGTACTAACCTTTAGATAAAAATACAAAAAAATACACAAGTTATACAGAATTCTTTATGTTACAAGAGAATAACTGTTTATTAAGAATACAGTTTTGTTTTCAGAAATATGTAATAGTTTTGTTCTAAGGAAGATGTCTACTAACTATAAGAAATTATTTTTAACTACAAGGAAATAACTTTGTTCACAGAAACCTGTCCGCTAATTATCGGACATAGTTTTGACCTATTAGAGAGCCCCCCAGTGGAACAGCTGTATGTCTGCGGACTTACAACGCTAGAATCCGGATTTCGATACCCGTGGTGAGCTGAGCTCAGATAGCTCATTGCGTAGCTTTGTGCTTAATTACAAACAAACAAGCTATTAGAGACGGGTTTGTTCCCAGAAATTTGTCCGCTAATTATAAGAAAATTATTTTGTTCAAAGAAAAATGTCCGCTAACTATAAGAAAATTTTTGTGTTAACAGAAATATGTCCATTAACTAAAAGAAAATTGTTTTGTCCGTTCAAAGAATATTTAAAAGTTTGTATAGTAATTTTTTTTCAGATTAAAAAAATAGTTCAAAATAATAATGGCTCAGCGGTAAGTGTGACGGCTTATAACTATAAATACGGAATAATTAAAAACCATAAACCTTCCCAATCTTATCATCAATAAACCATCTATTCGTCATGAAATTGATAAGAAAATAATAACAAAACGAGCTTAAGAAAACAAAGTTAATGACGATACCGAAGTCAAACACTAAATACTCTATTTCAGTATTTTGTTCCAGGATCATCAGGATATTTTTATCTCATTGCACCACAATACTGCTGCTTCCTTTCCATAATTATGTAACCTTAAGGGAGCGCGAAAATCACCAGTGGATCACAATACTGCTACTTCCGTTCCATAATTATCTAACCTTAAGGGAGCGCGAAAATCACCAGTGGACCACAATACTGCTGCTTCCTTTCCATAGTTATGTAACCTTGAGGGAGCGCGAAAATCATCAGTGCACCACAATACAGCTACTTCCTTTCCATAATTATGTAACCTTAAGGGAGCGCGAAAATCACCAGTGGATCACAATACTGCTGCTTCCTTTCCATAATTATGTAACCTTAAGGGAGCGCGAAAATCACCAGTGGACCACAAATTGAGAATTTCTGCTCTAGTTTAATAATGTTTTACCATTTCTTACTTGTTACTGATGTAACCTGTCTCTTCCAATAAACGGCTGTGTACAAATGAGGGACCTCTGGTTCCTCCTTCCCATAATGTTCCTTTGTTTCCTCTCAGAGGCCAATTGTTTCCTCCAGACTGAACCTGTCCTCCGTTCTGTGGTGTTAGAAAAAATAAACTGTTAAATACAGCGTCCCCCAGTCTTAAATAAAACAGTGCAGCTTTCATATAATTGTTAAAACCAATTTTTTTCTCATACAATACTATTCTTTTTAAGAGGAAGGGCATATCTGTATTAACCAAAAAGCAAAGTAGGCAGTTGCCTATGAGCCCAGCGAGCACACAGTGGTTATGCTTTTTTTTTTATATAACCTTCTCCGGTAATTTTTCAAGCTGGAAACTGTAGTATTTTAAAAGGTTTCTATTTGATTAAAGGTTAGTTTTATGGGCAAAATTTCATTGCCAAAATAACCGAGGTTTTATGTAGAAAGGAGAGCACACAGAAATAAAATAGCCCATGTGTCTACTACGGTTTTATTTGGCCCTGAGAAAGGGAGGCAGCACCTAGTGATTAGCAAATAGTTCTATAAGGAATCATTCGTTAATAGAAGGGCTAACTTAGACTTTCATTATTTAACTTTTGCATTACAAGAGATTCCTTGAGAAATCATTTGAAACATTTCAACTCAGCACCTTATGTGCACGTTAACTGAACGAACAGGTCAGACACCACCTGGGATTTTGGTATAGCCGTCCCTAATTTTGAACTAGTAGCCTACTGAAAAGTGGTCAGCCAGTAGCACCCAACGGCACAATAATTTTGTCTGGTTTTTATAATAATACGATTGACCTTCACTTTTATAACGCGCTCAAAGCTGAAAGTGTTTAGTGGCATTACATCTCGAGCCCTAGACTCTTCGATTCGCAGTCCACCAGGCCACTCCCAGTTCTTTCTTTGAGAGATTAAGTACATACATGGTAATTAGGAATACTTCGAGGATTTTTTTTTTTTTTTTTTTTTAGTAATAAAGTTATTCTGTC